CTTCTCCGCTGGCATTATCAATTAAGTTGTAAATCTCATCCACTTTGGCAGCAGATAAAGAAAGAACAGGAATATCTTTTACTTTTTCAAAAAATTCTTCTTTTTCTAATGTTTTATCCAGTGTAAGACATATTAAACTTGTTACATGAGTATACGCTAAACTAACATCATGTACATCACCTACAACATCTGACCTTAATATAATTGGAGTTAATTTGTGATAATATGCTTCTAAGGAAGCTGCTTCGATTGCCACTGTATTATTGCCCAAAATAATATTAGTCACATGCGTGAATTGTTTCTTCTTCTTCGTTAGCAACTTCTTGTCGTCAAATCTTTCTTTAGATGTTAAAAGCTTTTTCACATCACCCTCTAACTGCTCAAACAAATTATATTTTTTCAATATGGCTATTACTTCCTTTGGCCTTTTACTGTTGTATACTGTTGGACCACTAGCAATTAACTCTATAGGATCACCTACAATATCAGATAATATAAAGGTGATAACTGTAGCTGGATATGCCATTCGAGCTAAGCCACCACCTTTTACCATAGATAATTTGCTCCTCACTGTGTTAAGCTCTTTTATGTCAGCTCCGGCTGCTTGGAGCATTTTACAAACATGCAATTTATCTTCGTGATCAATTACTGGTCTTGGCATGTAAAGCAACGCAGAACCACCACCAGATATTAACACAATTAAAGTGTCATTTTCTGTGAGAGGTTCTACTAAATCTATAATTTCATGCGTTGTCTCTAAGGACCTATCATCTGGTTGATTGTGTACAGAACCTTCACAGTATTTTACTGTACTAGTTCCTATTAAAGGAAAATATGATTTGTCTTCAGATTCCCACATTGATTCTGTTGATGCAGAGGGAACACTAACTACACCCCTTTTCAGATAATAACCAAGCATGTGTTCAAGAATTACTGCCATACCCATAACAGCTTTGCCAAAACCAACTAAATAAACATTTTCTTTAAGTTGAAAACTTTGGTCTCCAGCATATAATATACCATCTTTAAATTTGACCTTGTTCAACATAAGATTTTTTGGTGAAACAGCTCTGACACCAGCAAAATACATATCTTTCAATATGGATTTAGATCTTTCCAAGGATCTTGTATCTGTTGACATTTTTCTACGTGTGAATTTCACATTGTTTAATAGGTTAGATTTAAAAAAAACTGGTCTACTGAAACAACGTCGGAAGGTAATCGTGAATATACATAACAAAACACGTTGTTAAAATATAATTAAAATACTTACCTATATTGCGTTAATTTATGTAATATTCGTACGTAGCGCATCTCTGAGTAGACTGGTATCACCCATTCTTACGAAATAAGATTTATCAGATAAGCTCAATAAAAATTCATTTTTGTTCGTCAATTTGTATCAGATGTATTTATTCAGAATTACATTTTTGGTTAGTATTACAAAAAAAATATTGTTTCAGTATATAAAGTAAAGAACATACATGTAATTTACATTACATATATTCGATCATATATCGGCATTTGGGAATTTACAAAAATGATTTACGTTTTATTCTGGAACTGTACTAAACTAAAAATGTGTCAGATGTTTAATAAGAAAAGCATTACAAATTGAAAATTACAGAGATAAATACATTTAATTAATATTAAATATTTCGCTAAATAAATATCAGATATAAATGTAAGTACAATTTAAAATCACATTTTGTTTTTTATTCTGGAACTGTGTTAAACCATACATGTGTCAAATGTTTAAGAAAAATTACAAATTAACAATTATTACAAAAGTAAATTTGACTGCGTCTAATTGGTATTAAGTATTTCCCCAACAAATATTAAATACATGCACATGTAAGTACAATTTGAAATCACAAAAATAATATCAACGATAGTTTCCGAGAGGCATTCTTTCGCATATATTTTGTGGCTCTTATAAGAGCCGTTTTGTTGCGTGGAGAGAGAACCTTTACTGAAATAGAAATTTAACCACCGAATCCGTAGAGTGTTCTTCCTTGACGCTTCAGGGCGTAAACCACGTCCATAGCTGTTACAGTTTTCCTTTTTGCATGTTCAGTATATGTGACAGCGTCACGGATGACGTTCTCAAGAAATACTTTCAATACACCTCGGGTTTCTTCGTAAATCAAACCCGAAATTCGTTTCACGCCACCACGTCTTGCCAGACGACGAATGGCAGGCTTTGTGATACCTTGGATATTATCACGAAGTACCTTCCTGTGTCTCTTTGCTCCTCCTTTTCCCAATCCTTTTCCTCCCTTTCCACGGCCAGTCATGATGAGAACTTTTTTTAAGCACGGAAAAGAATTCTGTAAGAACTATCGCAAACTGAGGTCTCAGCAGAAAACGTTGGGTTTATATACCAAACGTCACTCAGGTTCTTCCCACCACCATTCTACCAACCAATCACATTGCTCGTTCAAGTTATGAGTCCCATGCAGCTGGCTCTTAACAGGTATTGTTCAATTGCAACGAACATCTGCTGTAAACTACTCTCGCAAATAACATATATATCGTTAAATATATTTACAAAGAACAGTTTCGATGCAAATGAAATATATGCAACATTTGGATGGCTGGCTCGAGAACTTTATCTGGTCAGTTATTTTAGGCCAGTTGCTAGGATTTTCTAGGAAATAAATATCTTTCTTCTCTGTTAAATGTGTATTACGGACGTATCCATCTTTTATATGTATGTATATATTGTGCAGTTTCTCAACTTGCCGCGCATGAGCAAACGTAACAAACATTTCCGCTTTTCTTAAATCTCTTTTCGCATCCCTTTGATATCGTATGGAGCTTCTTTCTTCAAGCTTTCACTAAATTTCTCATTCTTAAATTCGACTTACTGAACTTTTTCAAAAAATTCTCAAATTCTTAATTCCTTTCTTCTACTTCTCAAGAGAAGAAATTGACTGATTTGTTGCTTGTTATTTTGTTTACAGTATATTTACTGAAATGAAACAAAAATTTTATATAACTGTCTGAACAATTGAAATCGATATCATAACTATTTTCAAACTTCAAATTAAATGTATTAAACCATAGATGTCCAACCTATTAGATCTTCATTGGCAAATATTTGTTGAGGGCCGTACATAATTTACATATTTTTTATTTATTAATTCAATATAACCTATATTATTTATGATATCGAAACAATTTTTATAGTGAAACAATATATTGTTTAGAAAAGTATATTTATATTAATTAAAAAAAACATGAAAATTTATAATGAGAACATTTTTTTAGATATTAATTCATCAATATCTGATTTATACAATGACAATACAAAAAGTATTTTCAAAATGATCATTTAAAATTTGTGATCTTATTTTATTTTTGATTTATGTGCTTCATATGGGAAAAAATCTTAAATATAAGTACTTCCTAAAAGAGACATCATGAACATTTATGGTTAAAATTATTCAAATAATAAAATAGAGTCTAAGGGCCGCACGTGGCCCGTTCTGCGGGTTGGACATACTTGTACTAAATATTCATCTTTTATATTACTAACGTGACAAATTTTTAAAAAGTTGTATAAAATTTTGACTATTTTTCCACTCGATGAGGATTTATAATCTTTGTCTTTTGTTTAGACTTTTAGAACATTTTTCCTTTCTTTTAGAACTGCTCTAACTTTGTGTACTAAATGGAATGCTACTGTTCGCTGTTTTACAATGGACACGAAAAATATTCATCATTAAATCATTTTTTAAAACTTCAATCTCTGAGATAAAAAACTTTCTATAATTTAACAGTTTTGAAATGAGTTCGATCTCTAATATAAGAAACTTTCTACAATTTTAAAATAATTTCAGAATATAAACAATATAGTTTATGACAGTCTATAGATTCTTAATGTTTCATAACCTCGATTTTATCTAAACGAAAGTTCTTCATTTCTATTTGGTCTATGTTTCTAAAATACTTTAAAACTGAATTCGCAAAATCTCTCTTACGTTGACGATGTGTAAAAAGAAAATTTATGATTAAAAAGCCTATGAAAGTCATATTTTATATATATTAGATTTATTTAGATTTATATATGTTATATATATATAGATTTCTAAACCGAAAAATTCCTTCATTTTGAAAGTGATTTGTGGCCCTTAAAAGGGCCATTTAATTAGGTTAGATTTAGGAGTATCGTGTGATTTACGCCTTCTTTTCTGTTTTCCTGGGTAAAAGCGCTGCTTGAATGTTTGGCAGGACACCTCCTTGACTGATAGTGACACCAAGGAGCAGCTTGTTCAATTCTTCGTCATTACGGATGGCGAGTTGTATATGTCTTGGTATAATTCTAGATTTTTTATTGTCTCGTGCCGCATTCCCAGTCAATTCTAGAACTTCGGCAGCCAGATATTCCATGACTGCAGCCAGATAGACAGGTGCACCGGAGCCAACACGTTCGGCGTAATTACCCTTCCTCAAGAGTCTGTGAATACGACTGACAGGAAATTGAAGTCCCGCTTTGAAAGAACGAGACGACTTTCCCTTTGCCTTCGTTTTTCCAGCTTTACCACGGCTAGACATTTTAGATTTGTATTAAAATGCGAACAAACACGACAGAACAAAAAACTTCCTTGCTCAACGGTTGTGGAGTGAATATTTTTCAAAGACCCCCCGAGCCACGCTTATATACGATCCGTGGTAGCTGAATTCAACCAATGGCTGACGAGCAGCGTCTCCATTGGTTTAAACGCACAACAATTTTCTAAATTGTTATTTTATATTATTTTCATAAATTAACGATCCTTCGAATTAATAATACATTTGAAATTTTATTTGATTAATCGTTTTATGTTGTGTAACAATATAAAAAGAGCATTTTTGTATTAATGTGTTTAAATGTGTTTAAATAGTAATTGATTAAATACTAATTGAGTAAAAATTTTGCAGCTTTTTTTTGAACGAAATATGTATTTTGTTCAAAACGTGTGTTTGTTCTTCATATTATTTTTCACGATTGCTTTTTGGAGTGTTAAATTTATTATGTGTTATCTTTTCTTTGCTTTTTCTTTTAGATTTCAATCAAATATTTTGTTCAATAGAAAACGTATTTACATTTGCTTACAGAAGTTGTAATTTAGGAATTACTGAGTTCACTTTAAAAATTAAGACACAGAATGTAAAAAGTTAGTAATCATTAAATATTTCTCGACTTAAATTAGTTATTTTGCAAAGAATTATGTATTGAAAACGGAGTATAATTTAAATTTTGGTTTGGCTCACGACGTTAAAAATCTACACGTTCTTTTTTTTCTTTGTTATAGGAAATAATAGAAATTGTTAGCAGCGTTACTTATTTTATATTAAGTATGTAAATTTCATTATATAATAAATAATTCTGATGAATTGTATATTATATTTTAATTTAATTGTATTCCAGAAATAATTTTTATCACAAATAGTAAATTTACAAATTGTATGAAAATATTTAACTAATTTATATATTTTGTAGCTTTAGTTTATAAATAATATAAATATAATTTGTTATTATATATATAAATATAATTTGTTACGCCATACTATATATAAATATAATATGTAATTATGTATAAATATAATTTATTACGCCAAATTTTTAGAATTAAAAATTTTTTTTAGCTTATTTTTATTGTAAGATACATCATTTGCGTTATATTAATTTTATTATGTACATTCATTAAATTAAAAATTTAATTTAATTTTCTTATTTTTAATTTATTAAAAAAGAGCTTTAGAAATATGTTAGATATGTTACGTGTATAAAATCAATTGTATCGTAGAGAATACAACGGTGGCAGCAACGCACCAATCAAATTGTAGAAAGGCATAGAGGCTTCATACTGAATCCTGATTGGTTCGGCGTAGCCTCCGTTCTAGTATATAAAAATGACACGCTAGCTGCCGAAGCCATACGATTCTGTTCAACTGCGAGAATTCGAAGTTAACTGAATAATCACCATGCCGCCGAAAGTAAGTGGAAAAGCCGTGAAAAAAGCTGGTAAAGCTCAGAAAAACATCAGCAAAGCCGACAAGAAAAAGAAGAGGAGGAGGAAGGAGAGTTACGCTATTTACATCTACAAAGTGCTCAAACAAGTGCATCCAGATACTGGTATATCTAGCAAAGCAATGAGCATCATGAACAGTTTTGTCAATGATGTCTTTGAACGCATTGCAGCAGAAGCGTCAAGATTGGCGCATTATAACAAACGTTCTACCATTACATCTCGTGAAATTCAAACCGCTGTGAGACTTCTCCTTCCTGGAGAATTGGCAAAACACGCAGTCAGTGAAGGCACCAAAGCAGTCACCAAGTACACCAGCTCAAAGTAAACAGTACATAAACTGTTTCAAATACAAATCGGTCCTTTTCAGGACCAACAAATTTTTAATCATGTTGGAACATTCTTTAGGTTTTAAAAATTCGTTACACGATACAAAATTTTATTCTTTTCGTATGTATTTTTTCATACGAAGTAGAACTTCATTTATTTAAACACATGAAAAGACAAGATTGTTCGAATAATAAAAATTCACTAACTGATCAGTTATGAATTCATATATTTCAGGCTCAATATTAATTCGTATAAACAAAATTCGGTCGAAATTCTATTGTTAATTTTACTCTAATTTCATCATAAATTAAAACAGTAATAATTAAATTCAAATCTGTTCCTTTAATTATTTTGAACACGTATAAATATATAATTTTTTGTACTTATATTGTAACATGAAAGACTAACTTAAAACAGTATTGTAAAATCTTACTCTTGCTAATAAAATGTCCTTACAAGTTACAAAGAAGAAATTCATTATTTGATGCGACAAAATGAAGTTAACATTTTTGTACCTTTTATAATTTAATAAAAAACAGTGATAAAAATTGAAAAGAAGTTCTTTTCAATATATCCATCATACTTCTTTAAAATTGAAAGTTTTTGCGCACTTTCTTTATATGCGTGAAGTTAAATGATACTCATTTGATTTTCCACCAGATCGTAATTAAGCACGATCTACCACGATTAAATAAGAAAATTCCCCAGAAAGTTTATTAATCACGTATGGTAGGCTTTCAAAACGCATGTATACCAATAACTTTCTACGATCACGTCATTTGTGTAGGATGGAAACGTTGTGATTACAACTATAAAGGTAGGAGCGGGATTATTACGAGTGATTTACTTGTACATTTATTTATGAGAATTTTACGTAACTTGATATTTAGCTGGGCAATTGAAAAAAAATCGTGGAAATTTCTTTATTAACCAGTAACAGGATAGCATATTGTATTAAATTATAAACATGTCTGACGAAAAGAAGGTAATGTTTCATAACCTTAAAACCTGATGTAATGGTAAAAAGTGACGACTCAGAAGGATATCTTCTGTTACAGGAAACAAAAGCAGAGTCAGAGCACATAAATTTAAAAGTGCTGGGACAAGACAGTGCAGTGGTTCAATTTAAAATTAAGAAACACACACCACTCAGGAAATTAATGAATGCCTACTGTGATCGTGTGGTATCTATGTTTCATTTATTATTAGATAGTAACAAAGTTACATGTAATGTATAAGCTATGTGTGATATAATATTGAGATTAGATACTATGTATTTAACTTATGTAGTTACTGCATGTATTTAATATATGTAGTTATACATCTGCAGTCAATGGATAATTAGTGATTATTATTTTTACAATAATAAAAGTATTTTATTCTTTTATAGGGCTTGGCGATAGCAGCAGTAAGGTTCAGATTTGATGGAGAGCCCATAAATGAATTAGATACACCAACAACCCTTGAAATGGAAGAAGGTGATACAATAGAAGTTTATCAGCAACAAACAGGAGGAACATTGTGTTGAGATTTATGATTGTCCCTTAATAGTTTAAAAATGGACTTGATAAAAAATTTCTGTTCCAGTGCTTACTTTGGAAAAGAGGCATAAATTATTTTCTGTGTTTTTTCCAATACAAAAGAATATTTCATTTCATGATATAATGTGGGAAAAGTTATTTGTACATTTTATATATTTTAAACTTACAGTTGCAAATCGTACAGTTCAATCTATGTGTTTGTTTTATCTGAAAAGCAAGTTTTTTTACATACATTTTATATTATTTAATGTGGAACAATAACTTAAGAATATAATAATTTTTCATAATGCATGAAGTTTTTAATTATTCTATTGTAAAAATTGGATTTTTCTTCAAATGTATCATCTTAATACCTGATAATTTGGCCAAAAACATTGTAAAACAAGCTTATTATTATGTTATAGTTAATAATATACATTGTAAATGAAGACACGTTAATCGTCTCTTCAGCATTTTGCACTATGTAGAAAAAAAACATCTACATCATATGAACACATGTTACTTATAAAACATAAGATTCTTTGTAAATGATTTTCATAAAAGAAAAAAAATTACTAATGTAAAATCTCAAATTCTCTTAATAAATTTCATCTTTGTAGGAACATTCGTTTATTATAACAATGTACAGATAGGACAATGACAGAGTATCATTACATAAATATTTAATATTGTAACTATTTTTAAAAAATTCGTAAAAATTTCATTTGTGTTTTTTACTTTCCATGAAAATAATGTTACTTTGTATATGAACAAATAATAAATTGTGTTTTATCTTTTCTATAAGGAATTGCTTATTTTTCAGTCATTTTTCGCGAAACAAATTGTGGAATTTTTAAATTTTGAATTAATGGCAACAAAAAATTTTAATATTATCGTCAAATTAAATTACATGAATTGACATAATTTATTTTTGTAAAAACTTCGTATTAAATATACGTGTATTTAGTAAATAATTATTATCGTTATATAGGCATATAATAATCAACGATTAAAAAAATGTTCCTATAAAGTTTTTACCAAGTTATACTAATATTAAAAAAGAATAGTATAATATTCTATTACTAGGGATATCATTTCCACCATATTGTCAGAAATATCTTAGATAATAGCATAAATACCTTAGTATAATATTCTATTCTTAGGGATTTTATTTCTTTATTGTGGTATTGTCAAATACAATTTCAGCCGTCTATATAGTATGTTAAGGAACATGGCGGTTAGTTGATGGAAACGTGTACGTAAACAAAACCTTAAGTTTTACTAATTTTATAATAAATAAATAATTTGTAAATAATAAAATCATAATAAATATATATAAATATAGTAAGGTGTAAAGAAATAAATGTATGATATACGATTACGAAAAACTATACAATTGATATGCTTTGGTGATACATCCATTGTACATTCAGAAAAAGATCGATATTTTTTTGTAAAAATTTAACATCATATTGGTTTCTTGAATCTGAATTATAAAAAATGACAGATTCCGAAGAAGAAAATGATAAGGACATAATGTCTGGAATCAATATGACTGGCTTTTTGTTTGGAAACATTGATGACAATGGTCATTTAGAAGATGATATTCTTGATCCGGAGGCAAAGCAACACATAGCTTCGTTAAACAGACTTGGATTAAGTTCACTTATTCGTGAAATGATGCAAAATGAAGACATTGAGAAAGAGAAAGATAATGACACTGATGACAAGCCTGAAGAAGAAAATGACATGGTCGATGAAAAAAATATCAATTATATTGAGAAATCACCCAATGCTCTTGACTTCTTTGATATAAATGAATTAGCAGAAGATGAAAAAGAAGAAAATAGTAAATATGACATTTTCTTTTTTGTGTAAAAGTTAAATTAGATTTATATATGCAAGTATTACTGTAATTGATAGGTAAGCAGGACATGTTTGATGGAAAAACTGAAAAGGAGAATGCCGATTACGATGCAGATGATGAAGAAGTTGTTAATAAATCTGATACACAATTGATGCCACCACCCCCAATTCCTGAAGAAAAGGAAGCGCTCACTGCAGAAGAAGTTGAAGCTGCGCGTCAGCGTAAATTAGAAACCCCTCTTGCTTCTATGTTACCATCGAAATATGCCAATGTTGATGTTACTGAATTATTCCCTGATTTTCGAGCTAATAAAGTTTTAAGGTTCTCAAGATTATTTGGTCCGGGAAAACCTAGTAGTCTTCCACAAATATGGAGAGGTGTTAAAAAAAGACGCAAGAAGAAAAGGCATCACGATGTTAGAGATTCTGATTCTGGTTCTGATCAAGAGGAAAAAAAACAAAAGTTCAAAGTATTATAAATATATAAATAGTGTTTCTCTTTTAGAGTAATGATATATTATTAATTAAATATTTATATATTATATATTAGGGTTATATTATTATATTATTTATATATTAGGGTTGGGTGATGCAATATGGTCCAGATCCAACGCCAGATATATGTCGTTCTGATGATGAAACAAAATTGTTAATGCCAATAGAAGATAAAGAGCAAATTGACAAAACAGGTGAAACTGGAGAAAATGGAGATATGGGACCAAAAGTTGCTGATTGGAGGTTCGGTCCTGCACAGCTTTGGTATGATATGCTTCAAGTACCAGAAACTGGGGATGGTTTTAACTATGGATTTAAACTTGTTGACAAGGTATTTAATTTGTGTATGTCAAAATATTAATACATCATTTGGAAAATATAATTTAATGTTCCTAAAAATCAGTTTATTATAGATAATACTGTTATTATATTTCTAATAGCTAGACGAACAAAACAATAATGACAATAAAGATAATAAAGATGATAAAGATATCCATGAGGAATTTTCTGATGATGCGTTTTTAATGGTATCACAATTACACTGGGAAGATGATGTTATATGGAATGGTGATGACATAAAGCATAAGGTACGTAATATTTTAGTGTGAGATGTTCTTAATTATATATTCGTATAAAGTAATAAGTAAGAATATGAATACTTTGAAAGGTATTACAGAAATTAAATAGCAAAAATAATGCGGCTGGATGGGTACCATCCAGTGGAAACAGAACTGCTCAGGCATTTAGTCAACCAGGCAAAGGAGCACCTGTACCAGTTGCATCAAATGTTCGATTAGCTACTTCGCAAATTACAACTCCATTACACATGCAATCTCAGAAAACTAAATTGTAAGAAAAGTATCCTATCTGTTAATGCTATGAAAAAATTACTGCGTATATAATTCTTTTATTATATTTCAACAATTCCATTTTTATTTTCAATAGGAACATGAACAAAGGAAATCAACAACAAAATCGGGAAGAAAATTACGATGACACTTGGTATTCTATTTTTCCTGTGGAAAATGAAGAATTGGTGTATGGACTTTGGGAAGAAGAAGTGATTTGGGATCCTGAATATATGAAAAAGATTCCAAAACCTAAAATTCTTACCTTGGATCCAAACGATGAGAATATTGTTCTTGGTATTCCTGACGATATCGATCCAGCATTAATTCATAAAGATAATGGACCTCAACCGAAAGTGAAAATACCTCATCCTCATGTGAAAAAAAGCAAATTATTATTAGGAAAAGCTGGAGTGATTAATGTTTTAGAAGAAGATACGCCACCTCCACCACCAAAATCACCTGATAGAGATCCATTTAATATTTCAAATGATACGTAAGTTAATTTAGTAATGGCTTTAATTTTTACAAAAATAAAAAATATTCTGTTATAAAATATTTTATTTTCGGTATTAATTATTAGATATTATATGCCACGATCATCAGAAACGACATTAAGATTAAAAGTTGGAGGTGGAAATTTGATACAGCACAGTACACCGGTAGTAGAATTACGTGTTCCTTTTGTTCAAACTCATATGGGTCCAATGCGACTTCGAAATTTCCATAGACCACCCTTGAGAAGATTTAGTCATGGACCACTTGCTCATCCTGGTCCGCATTCTGTTTTACCATTAGTAAAACATATCAAAAAGAAAGCCAAAGTATGTATCATTTTTTATGACTTTTGTTTGTTAAATAAGTAAAAATTAAACAATATTTACACATTAGCAAAGAGAACAAGAAAGAATTGCATCTGGCGGAGGTGATGTCTTTTTTATGAGAACTCCTGAGGATTTAACTGGGAAAGATGGTGAATTAGTACTTATCGAATTTTCTGAAGAGCATCCTCCTCTGATAAATCAAGTAGGAATGTGTTCCAAGGTGAAAAATTATTACAAAAGAAAGGCAGGAAAAGATCAAGGACCACCGAAATACAAATACGGAGAAACTGCTTATGCTCATACTAGTCCATTCCTTGGAATTCTTACACCTGGCCAAAGCATACAAGCAGTTGAAAACAATATGTACAGAGCACCAATTTATGAACACAAAATTCCAGAAACAGATTTCTTAGTTATTAGAACAAGGTATTTGGTAACATTTTCTTTTACTTATATGAGAAATGTATTATAGCATTAATAAATTCGTTTTCCACATATAGACAACAATATTACATCAGAGAAGTGGATGCTTTATTTGTTGCTGGTCAGGAGTGTCCATTATATGAAGTTCCAGGTCCTAATTCAAAGAGAGCTAATAATTTTGTGAGAGACTTTTTACAAGTATTTATATATAGATTATTTTGGAAATCTAGAGACACACCTCGACGTATTAAAATGGACGATATTAAAAAAGCATTTCCCTCGCACAGCGAAAGTAGTATTAGAAAACGTTTAAAACTATGCGCTGATTTTAAAAGAACAGGTATTTATTATTGTACAATTTATATTGTGCAAATTTTTCAAATCATCTTATTATAGATCTAACAAATGTTCAATTTTTTTATGTTGGTTGTAGGCATGGATTCAAATTGGTGGGTTATAAAACCCGACTTTAGATTGCCAACCGAAGAAGAAATTCGAGCGATGGTGTCTCCCGAGCAATGTTGCGCTTATTTTAGTATGATTGCAGCCGAGCAAAGATTAAAAGATGCAGGTTATGGTGAAAAATTCCTATTTACTCCTCAAGATGACGATGACGAAGAAATGCAATTAAAAATGGACGATGAAGTGAAAGTTGCGCCTTGGAATACGACACGAGCGTACATTCAAGCTATGAAAGGAAAATGCTTATTACAGTTGGCAGGACCAGCTGATCCTACAGGTTGTGGTGAAGGATTTTCTTACGTTCGAGTACCAAATAAACCTACGATTAGTAAAGTAAGAATTTAATACATATTCTACTATCATACTTTTTGTTATATGTCTTATATTTTAAATTATTCGTTTTATAATTCAATTTCAATTAGGAAGAACAAGAAGCTCAACCAAAGAGAACTGTAACTGGAACTGATGCCGACTTAAGAAGATTATCCTTAAATAACGCAAAAGCATTACTTCGAAAATTTGGCGTACCTGAAGAAGAAATTAAAAAATTATCACGATGGGAAGTAATCGATGTTGTTAGAACTCTGTCAACAGAAAAAGCTAAAGCCGGAGAGGAAGGTATGACCAAATTTTCGAGAGGAAATCGATTTTCTATCGCTGAGCATCAAGAAAGATACAAAGAAGAATGTCAAAGAATTTTCGACTTACAAAATCGTGTCTTATCTTCTAACGAAGTTTTGAGTACAGACGAAGGCGAAAGTTCCGAAGAAGATAGTTCTGACATAGAAGAGATGGGTAAAAACATAGAAAACATGCTTTCAAATAAGAAAACCAGTACTCAGCTTTCGCTTGAACGAGAGGAACAACAACGACATGAATTACGAAAGATGTTGATGGGCGAAGTTCAAGAACAAGATAAGAAATCCAAAGAGAAAAAGAAAGATGATGAAGAGGATAGTCCTGTAAATAACTTTAATTCACAACAGGGTAGAGTTCTTAAAATTTATCGAACGTTTAGAAATCCAGAGGGCAGAGAATACACAAGAATAGAATTAGTAAGAAAATCCGCGGTAATAGATACATATATAAAGATTAGAAATTCTAAGGATGAAACGTTTATTAAACAATTTGCAACATTGGACGAGGCGCAAAAAGAAGAAATGAAGAGGGAGAAACGAAGAATACAGGAGCAATTGCGTAGAATTAAACGGAACCAAGAACGTGAACGTATGCTTGGTGGTCCAATGACAGGAAACAATACGTCGAGTAATATGTTCGATCGCAGTAGTACCAATATCCCAACCACTACATCCTCAAACAGTATCCTTCCATTCTGTAATTTACCTTTTCAATCTACTTCTCCTGCTTCTAAACATCCTAAAACCGATATATCTCCTGCTAAACGTAAAAAACCTAAACTTAAGCCAGATCTTAAATTGAAATGTGGTGCTTGCGGCAATGTAGGTCATATGCGCACGAATAAAGCTTGTCCTTTATATCAGAATAGTATAACTACGGCGCCGGTGAATGTTGCAATGACGGAGGAACAAGAAGAAGAAATTGAGAAACAACTTAATACAGATGATCAGGATCTCGTTAATGTAGATGGAACGAAAGTGAAATTATCCTCCAAATTAATTAAAGTAATTTATTAAAATAGAAAAAGTAATTTATTAAGAAATTAGTACTTGATAATCATTTTCATATTAATTTTTTTTTTTGTAGCATGCTGAAGAAATGAAGAGGCGTACGTTGCTCTTGAAAGTGCCTAAGGAGGCAGTAAACTCGAAAAAACGAAGAAGAGCTACTGGAGATGATCATTGTGATTATCTTAAACGACAACAGAGACCTGCTAACAGACGTAGAACAGATCCTGTTGTTGTCATGTCTACAATGCTAGAAAGTATACTTAACGAAATGCGAGATCTACCTGATGTTCAACCTTTCTTGTTTCCTGTTAATGCTAAAGTATGTTCCTACTAAACTTTTTTTTTATATAAATTAATCATAATTATTTATAACTGAAGAATTTATCTATATATTTCATAAATAGGCTGTTCCTGATTATTACAAAATTATACAAAGACCTATGGATTTACAAACTATACGTGAAAATTTAAGATTAAAGAAATATCAAAGTCGAGAAGAATTTTTGGCTGACGTTAATCAAATTGTAGAAAATTCAACCCTGTATAACGGGTCAAAGAGTTCATTAACAGTGGCAGCTAAGCGTATGCTCGAAACTTGTGTAGAAAGACTCGGAGAAAAGGAAGATCGTTTGATGAGATTAGAAAAAGCAATTAATCCTTTATTAGATGACAATGATCAAGTTGCTCTTACTTTCATCTTAGATAATGTTGTAAATAATAAATTGAAATCTATGACAGAAGCTTGGCCATTTTTGAAGCCTGTTAATAAGAAATTAGTGAAAGATTATTATAATGTTATTAAAAGACCTATGGATTTAGAAACTATATCTAAAAAAGTATCTGGTAAGTTAAATAATAACAACTATAATAGTATTGAATTTCTTCAATTCTTTTTACAAATATTTATACTTATTTCTTTCAGCACATAAGTACCATAGTCGCCACGAGTTTCTTAGAGACATTGAACAAATTTTGGAAAATTGCACAGTATATAACGGGAAGGAATCTCCATTTACGCAGAAAGCAGAATTGCTAGTGAAAGTTTGTAAAGAGACATTGGACGAGGTAAGTTCAATTTATGAACTTTTTTAAAAGTTTATTATATTTTAATCTCATATTCATAATTAAATTACTTTGTATACAGTATGATGAACATTTAACACAATTAGAAAATAACATATTATTGGTACAAAAACGAGCAATGGAGCAAGCAGATATTGATCCTTCATGGCTTGGACCAGATGAAGAAAATTATACTATTGTAGAGCCAGAATTTAGAGGGGTATCTACCCATTCAAATACATAGATATTTAGTTTTTCCTTATAAGAAATTTCACAAATTACTATGTTATTAATTATTAATTATTATTTACAGAGTCAAACAAGTTCGCCAGAAAATGCATTTGGGAAATCGAATATGGATGATTTTGATTTCGTGGATGTGGAAGGTGATATGGAAGGTGATGGTAGCAGAAGCGTAAATTCGAAAAAGAAAGATGTTCTTGAAGAAGGTGAAAAAGATTTTATAAAATTATTTTTAGTTTTACTTAAATGAGAATGTAATTAATATGTTTTATTATAGATCTACAATTCTCTAGTGAAGATGAATTTGATGAAGTCCCATTTGGTACCGATGAACAATCCGAAAATGCAGAAATGGAAACGCTTGAATTAAATGAAGTTAGGGAAGGTACAGAAAATGAAGTAGTATTAGCGGATGACGATAGTCAACAAGCAGCGGAAGCTATGGTTCAATTAGGTAATGTCGGTTTTTATATGGCGGACCAACAATTGCTTCAACAAGGTTAGTAATTAGAATAAAATACTTTATAAATTCATTTATTATTTTATAATTTCATTAATCAAATCGCATATTTTTTAAATTACAGATGAAAGTATGGATGTTGATCCAAATTACGATCCCTCGGACTTTTTATTAGCTGGCTTGCCAGCAAGAGACGAGAAAAGTGAAAATAAAATCCAGGATGATCTTGCTGTTTCTGAAAGCGATGATGATACAGAAAACAATGCGAAACAAAAACAAAAAACACCACAGCAATTATCGCAACCAGAGGAGGATGTTGGTGGTGATCTTTGGTTCTAAAAAAATATTTTTTTGAGCAATAATTCTATTTCGTAGTTTACTTCTTAAATCAAAAGACTTATTACAAAATACAATGAGAGAGACAAAGTAAAATATTTATTTCTTATAGGAATAATTAAATTTCAATATTTGAAATTAATAATATATATATATATATATATATATATGTTTTTGTTTAGATATGATCTTGTAAAAAACAAAACGAACATGCATATCTACAAATATTGTATACATATATGTAAATACATAGTAGGAAATTGTTTTTTAAATATCACGCGTAGTTTATTTTTTACGTACAGTAAATAAATGTATACAAAGATCATCGAATATAAAAAGCTGCAAATTCAGTTATATTTATTTAAAATATAATCCTAACCAAAATTCTGTTTGTAATGTTCCTTTATAATGTTAATGTAAGATTTCTATATAATGATTACTGATGAAGAATTGAAAACTAAAATGGACTACATACTTGAAATTTGTACATCTATAGATTTACAATACGATAAAAAAAAAATGCTTAACAATATAGCTAATGTAACAAAAAGTGCATCACAGAAGCAACTGATAGTTTATGAACCAAATGCCATTATTATATGTATTCTTAAACTCTTTTTTTATTATAATGAAATCGCATCTCAAAATATGTGTAAATGGAAACGACGAAGAAAATGTCGACTTGCAAAAGAATGTTACATTAATTTATTACAAGTATACATTCCTGAAAAGTCTAAGGAAATTTTGGAAGCTGTAATTAACGTGATTTATGAAGATAAGCTTTGGGAATTTGAAACATTTTGTTTTGAAATTATGTGTTCTTTATTAGAATATGGTATTAATGCATCGTTAATGATTCATCTTATATGGGATAGAATTGAAACTCTAAATATAAACATACAAGATACAAGAAAAATTATAAGAATATTATACGAATTATTAGATGTTTACAACTGGCCAGATACTCACGAAACAGTAACAGTTATTGAAAGAATCTTAAATCTTTTTTATATTTCTATAACTAGCTCACATGCAACTGTTAATTTTATGCCATACGCAACGTTCAAAAAAGGTTTAGAAGTCTGCATAATTAATATGGTAAAGCATGTATCTAATGATCATCTTCTCATCATAATCCAACATATGTGTTCATGGGTTGTTGAAAAAGGAATGACTGATGAAATTATTTTAGACTTTGGCAGTACACTTGAATACACAGCCTATGTACATGAGGTAACATTATATGAAAAAACTTTAACTCCAAAGATATTTCCATTATTAATGGAAATGATAGCATCAACAAGTAAAATAATCAGTCTATTGGGTAACAGAGTTACTCAGTATTTGCTCGACAGAGAAGAAAACAAAATGAATTTTGATACGCCTAAAATATTTTTCGAAGATATTCAATTTGATCTCACAATAGGTAAATGTTTCAAAGAAGATAAACTATTCTGTAAACTTCACAGAGAAATTTTGCATGATAGCATGTTGAAAAGTATCATAAATCATTATACATCACGTATGAATTTAGAAGCTACTTATTGTACGATATGCCTGATTGCTGTAGAAGTGCCATGCGGATTTATAGCAGCAGCCCTAGTTTGCCTTTTAATGAATGTGCAAGATGTAACGTTGAAGCAAACTAAACATCATGTCGAAGTATCTAAGTCTTATCATATACATGCAACAGTGATAGCAGTTATGTCCCTTTTGTGTTGGATTCACAAAGCTAAAGCATTTTATGAATATATGAACAAAGTAATGATGGAGAGGGCACAGTGGGCTCCGCATTTAAATCCACCTATTCAATCTCAATATAATTTCGCGGCGCATCACATACTTTGGAACAAGCCAGATTTGTTTTTCGTAGATTGGGAAGCTCGTTACGGTTTGTGGAAATGTTTCCGTTTACATGAAACTGAAGAAGAGCCGCAGGATACATGATTATTCATCAAAAATCATGATACAATGTATATTACGAGACAAAAATTAACATTACACGATCATTCAATATCAAGATTCCACGTGATATTACGAACATTAATAAATAATTTAAATTACCGACCTGCTTTCTTTGACGATTTTTTGTAATAGATCTGTAATCATAAAATCATTCATATAAATAACTGTCGTCAAAATGGCTGTGTTTCGACATTATACAGCACAATTCACAGTATTACGCATTAAACAAAGCCAATAGAAATTGACAGTGTGCGGCATTATATTCAATATTTTGTTGCAGTCTGTGTTTTCTAAACGTAAAACAAAGTTGGTACGATCCAGGTTTATTTACAATTAAACAATGTGATAATTTAATCTCAAGTGATTGATATTCGTTCGTCCATCTTACATCATTCTGAACAATTTTTGATTCGTCAAATATTTACGCTTTATTAACTGTAAATTACAATTTAGAATTAGACATGAATCCTTTGGAAATTGATAAAACATTCCTTCGCAATTCCGAAGAAACTGTGGGAAAGTGTTGACAATGAAATTAAATGAATTTTCGAAGTGCGAGACCTGCTGCAGTTATTAAAATTCTTTGTTTACATAACGAACTTCAGTTTTTCTGGATTATTTCCGTCAGATCATCAAATTACGTTTTAATAAAGGTTAACTTTTTAAATAAATTATAGTGTTTATTGTACCTTCACTGTCAGTGTCCTTTGATTGTGTGACAATATTATTTTGTTTCTAGCAAGAAAAAGTTTTGCTATATGTATGATTTAATATATAAATTTTGTGTACATACTAAGTGAAGTTTTGTCAGTTCTTAGAATAGAATGTAATAGAAATTGTATGAGTCGTAGTATATGTAATAATTTTTGTTATGGATGTTTACTTTTTCAGTTATTCAAACATTTTAAAAAAAACAATGTCTGGAGAACAATTTTCCTTGGTTTGGAACAGTTTTCCAAGAAATTTATCTTCTGGATTATACACATTATTAACTGATGAACAATTAGTTGACGTAACATTAGCTGCTGAGGGTCAGATACTACGTGCTCATAAGTTAATATTGTCAGTTTGCAGTACGTATTTCAGGGAATTGTTCAAGGTACATTTTAAATTGTCTCACATAATTTATATTTTCTCCATGATGTTAAAGTACTTGTAACAATGTAGGGAAACTCTTGCAAACATCCAATTGTAATTTTAAAAGATGTCAACTACCGTGATCTGTCAGCAATGCTTCACTTTATGTATCAAGGAGAAGTTAACATTAAACAAGAAGACATTGCTAGTTTCTTAAAAGTGGCAGAGACTTTACAAATAAAAGGCTTAACGACAGAAACAGGAGAGGTACGTTCTATTAAGCTTAAGAATCTTAAGAATAACAGAAAATAAATAAAAGGATTATTTTTAATTTACAGAAACTTGGAGAAACATTAACGAAGAATGCAGATAACTTGGATCAAATATTTAATACAGAAGATAGCAGTATTAATTCTGTCAATTCGGATGCAAATGCTCCTATTTTTGACGAACAAAGACAGTTTATAGAGAAGAACCAACAATGTCAAAAACAATGTGTATTATCGAAAGATGATCTACTTAACAATGAATTTACAGAAAATACTAATGTCAGTGACATGCATTGTCAACAAGAATCTTCTGATTCAGCTCATAACATACAAGATGTACAAACTATAGAAAACAACATTTCTACAAGTGTAGAAGAAGAAGAAGAAGAACCACTAGATTGTACAGCTGATATAAGTAATATGGAATCAAAGCATGAACCATTGGATTATACAATTGACGTAGATACAGAAGCAGGATATAAAACATGTTTGCCTAACGAATCGCTTTATAAACCTGAAGAAAATTTACAGACAAAAGGTATTATTTTTACATGTTTTATTAGCGTAATTATTTAAAAGATTATGTAATTAGTAGGCTGATGACTATAAAGACATCATTTGGGCCTGAAAATATTACATTTGCTGAATGAATGAGTACTTCGAAACGAGATGAATAAAATTAGTGAAGAGACTACAGTCACTAGCTGTTGATGCAAAAGATTTGACACACTCAACTTTTTCGTCGATGGATATACAGTTGTACAAATTTCTTTAATAAAATTAATTTTACAACGCAATCAATTATATATCTGCATGCTTATTTACTGGGTGTTTCAAATCTCAATTCCATGCAATTCGATACTTTAGAAAAGCAAATGTTGAAATAAAAAATTTTATATTTTACAGATTACATGCCAGATATGCAATTAGTACCCTACAGTCAGAATACACAAACTCAATCATTTGGTGAGTCTTTCATTTTCATTTTATAGTTTTATCTGCACTTTCAATTTTCTGAAATACATTATTTATTTTCACCTCTCTAATAGGTTTAAGTAACATGTCTAGTTTCGAAAGTGAATTTACATACGAAACTGGTTGTCATGGTAAAGGTCGTCGAACTGTTAAAGGTATATCCAACAATAGTTTGCCACTGGAAACAACTTTACGCGTTGTATCTGAATTGGGACCAACTTTGCGTATGGAAAGAGGCAAAGTTATTCGAATGTATTCATGTCCATGGTGTCTTCGTCATTTTACGCGTAAGGAAAATCTTAAATTACACGTTCGATATATTCACGGTCCGCTTGAAAGCCTAACGTGTAGACTTTGCGGTAATAAATATAAAAACAGTAACAGTTTACGTGTACATTCGTATCTGTATCATAACGCCAAACGCGACAAACCTAATAAGTCAATAATAGATGGTGGCGCATGAAATTAAAGTCGAACAATTAACATTCAAATTTGCAAAAAATTATTGCATCACATATGTAATATAATTAATGTGATGTAGTTTTATTTACAAGAAAGTTTGACATTTGTTGGCAATTAACAAGAAAATTTATAAAAATTATTTAATAATTTTTTATTTACATTTTGTTCGATATAATTATGAACCTATTTAAAAATTCTCGATAAATTTGGAGAAATATGATATTCTCTTAATTAAGCAAGCATAGACTTAATTAGACTTAATAAAGACAAATTTAGAATATTTTATATAAAACAGGTTACTTTAAAGAAAGAAAATCGATTGTAAACATATATGTATATTAATATATCATTTTGTAAATATATATACATTTGTAATAAAATAAAACATTTATATTTTTATGTCCTTTTTAGAAATCGTTACCTACCGAAGCATCATAACACACTCATCAGTACTATGCAAATTTAACACAAGATATCGAATCATAAATTTTTATTTTACTGCTACAACGATCTTCCTATCTATCTAAGTGCACTCTTTCCTTTAAGAACTCAAGAATCTCCTTCTGCTTAAGAACGAAACTAAAGATAGAGAAATAGAAGAAAGAAAGGTAAAATTGATCCTGTCTCAATTCTGTCCCAAAGTATTCAGATCACCAACTCCAGCAATCTCCCGTCACAACAAGACAAGTACACACTAACAAACCAACTACCACATCGACTGGCGTTCAAAATAAAATTATCATTAGCTCAGCAGGCATTACGAGGAATTTCCTCCAATACAAGAAACTTCACTTTATCGTCAGAAATCCCTTATCTCTCGACGAATGATGGATACCAATAGTCTAACGTACTCTTCTCGCGATTCCTGAAAGTCGATCAAAGGCCGAAAGATCCGTTGATTATCACGACTGACCGCCTATAATTAAACATACCCGCGATTGGATTTAGCGGTATGATAAATCACATCACGATTCGCCGACAAACGCCATGGATCTCTGAGGATTTCCGGGGACGAGGGGAACGCGATGAGACGGAGGACAGTGGCTTCGCAATATCATCGAGCTACCGTCTGGCTGGCCTTTTGCAACAAGGTCGAGGGTCACGTCTTCGAGACATAATCATCCATAGAGAGCGAAATCGTCAGTAAAACCGCGGTTTCTCGAGCCACGCGAGCACTCCTTACGATTACTATAGTGAAATTTACTATCACTGAGCTTTATATTGATCTTAAGCGTTGTCGATACGCTTCCGGCTTTGATTTACCATTGAGAGGAAGTTCAAAAAAAGTGTCGACATCATCGTATAGATCATGGCCGCGTTCTATCTTTTGGACATCCTTGGAATTTCATTGCTTTTGCACTTGAGCTTTAGTATATTGCTGCTGATCATTTCGGTGCCATTTGTGCTATTTGTTTATCCGGGTAATTATCTTTTAAGGAAGATTTATCTAATTATGATTGACAGTTAATTCTTTAACAGTATAATCTGAAAAAGAGTTAGTTATACGTAGTATTATATATATATATATATATAT